AGGGAGGGAGGGAGAGAGAGAGAAGAGAGAGAGAGAGGGAAGGAGAGAGAGTGGGAGAGAAAGAGAGAGGGAGAGAGAAAGGGAGGGAGGGAAGGAAGGAGGGAAGGAGGGAGGAAGGGAGGGGATGGCATAGCATGGCATGGCATAGCATAGCATAGAATAGAATAGCATAGAATAGAATAGAATGTGGAGAATAGAATGTAGAGTGGAGTAGAATAAAATTAAGAATTAAAAAATAGAATATCAACTTTGTGTTTGAACTTACCTAGCATAAAGTAACAGTCTCCCCGATGAAGTGGAATTGCTAAACCTGGCGTCTCTATATCCCAAGCAACTTTCAAGCCAACGTGCCAAACATCTGGATCTCTGCCAGCCGCAGATTTTTGTTCAAGGACTCCACCATCCACTTCTGAAACAAAACAAAACAAAAAAAATAACTCTTCGGATACAAAAACAAATTCTCCCCTGTAGAAGTTCTAAAAGAACAAGGAAACCACAAGCTCGCAAGAGAAATTTGAACACTAACTCAGTGAACAAATTGTTGACTCCCCATCTTCCAACTTCATTTTTACAACTGGGTGGGTATGCACATTGCACCGAGATACAATTTTGTGTGTCTCTCCCCCCCACCCCTTTCATAAAGTAAGCCACAAATGCTGGCTAGTTTGTACAAGCTAAGCTGCAACAAATGAGATTCCAGCTGTGAGATTCCATCTTTAACTTTTGAACTTTCCTTTGCCAATGGATAATAGAGCAACGCTTAAGAATACTGCCATTAATAATAATACTCTACTATTAATGTCCTAACTTTCAATTCTCCAAGAAACATGGGAAGCTGCTATATTAATATGTTATGATACAGTAAAAGTATAAAAAATGAACAAAGAAAAGAATTAGAAAAGAGAAAAGGAAGGAAAGAGAATATTGACTTCCGTATTTCTATCGAATAATTGCTAACTTACTCTTTTAGCACTGTTTTTTAACAACGGCATTAGTTTAAAAAAAAAACTTGTTAGCATCCCTCGGCGTAATTTTCATTTTTGTTTTGTTTTCATAGAAAAAAATTACTGCAAATAAGCACTCTGATGTTCAAAACAGAAGAGAGAATTTTGGGAATCAGATCTGAAGAATCTCTCCAAAAGCAGGCAAACTCCCTTGAATCTTAAAAAAAAAAAATCTACTTGGCAAGCATTTCCATATTTTATGACTGACGTGTAAAACCCTGATCTAAATAAATTTCTCATCAGCCGTAAGTGATGAACGACCTCAGCTTTAAGAAGCTGAGGTCAGCACCGGTCTTTCTCTGTGCACGAAATAATGAAAGTTATAAATCTTTTATTTATTTTTTTCTCCAGTTTGGGGAGTTGAAAAGTTATGATAAAAATAAGGGAACGCAGAACAATTGTTCTGACAACTCCTTGCATGGGGTAAAAAAATTAATTTGTTTGTTTAAGTAAAGCTTTTTTTTTTTCCCCCTTCTGAAAAGATTTAGAGAGTTTGGGTAGTATTCGGAATTGTCTATGTATGAGGCACATGCAGGAAAAAAAAGGCCGCTGGTGGGTTATAGAGACTTTTATTGGATAATGATATTTTAATTGACGCTGTCATTTTGCATCCAATTCAGTGGTAGAATTCTACTGGTTAATGGCCTGATTCATCCTTCAAGGGCAGGGGTCTCCAACCTTAGCAACTTTAAGACTTGTGGACTTCAACTCTCAGAGTTCCTCAGCCAGGAACTCTGGGAGTTGAAGTCCACAAGTCTTAAAGTTGCCAAGGTTGGAGACCCCTGTTCTAGGGGACTGAAGAATGTTGCAAGAATTGGGTATGTCTAGTTGAATGAAAAGGAGGGCTAGGGGAGACATGATAGTAGTCTTCCAATATTTGAAGAGCTGCCACAAAGTAGAGGAAGTCAAGCTATTCTCTAAACAAAGCACCTGAAGGCAGGACCAGAACTTAATCAAGGAGAGAAGCAACCTAGAACTAAAGGAGAAATTTTCCGACAGAGCAAACAATAAATCAGTGGAAAAATTTGCCTCCAGAAGTTGTGAATGCTCCAACACTGGAGGCTTTTAAGAAGAGATGGGATAACCATTTGTCTGAAATGGTTTGTCTCAAATGCTTGAGAAGGGGATTGGACTAGAAGACCTCCAAGGTACCTTCCAACTCTAGTATTCTCTTCCAGTTGCTTACATATCTTCAAGTCCACAACATGCACATAGACTTGTGAATTCAAATTTATGCATGTGTTTATTTAAAACATTTACAGAGCCGCTCACCTTATAATCAACTATTGCAAAATGAATGAGCTAAACAGGATGTGCAAAGCTGAATTTCTGGTATAGATGGTGGTGGTGGGACTACATTGGACATTGACTCATTGTTGATTCTTTTGCCCAACGAAGCTTACTGTCTAAAATTTTGGAAAGAAGAACGAGCAAAGATGGAAGGAATGGAAAATTCTAAGGAATGAGGAATGAATGAAAACGACTGTTGTAGATTTCCAGATTGTTTCTGATTAATGCTCAGGATTCAGGGAGCTCTTCCCACATCTGTGTCCATACATATAGCCTCATGAGTCAGCTTATGTGACACTAAACAGATCCCTTTCTAAGAATGCCGCCAAGGCTCTTGTAAAATAAAATAAAAACCACTAGCTGTCTATGGAGATTTTCAGTCATGGTTGTCCCGAAGGTGCTTTTTCAAGAGGCAACGTGTTTGTTTTCCTTAAACACATTTTGCTTCTCATGCAAGAAGTTCCTTCAGTTCTGCCAGAATGGTGGAGAATGGAATCATTTACGTTCCTTTACATTCCTCCTGTTTACAACATAGTCCTTTCAGCAGTTCCAAAAAGGCAAAATACCCATTTGCTCTCTGATTCAGGAGACCCTGAGGGCACAAATAAACCTCCAAGTGGCTTCAACGATTCCCAGAAAGAGCGCTAACGACCAGATGATTGCAAAGAATATAAATCCTTCTGTTCTCCACCATTCTGTCAGAACCATAGAAGCTTCTCGGATCAGAAGCGAAATATCTTCAAAGAAAAACAAAGACAGCCTTTGGAAAAAGTACCTTTGGGACAAAAAGTTTCCTGCGAGATGTTTGTGAATAGCTCACATTTTGAGTGGGAAATGCCCAGATTCGGCAATAAAAGGTACCTCTATCCGAACGTTTTAAATAAATGAATTTCAACAAAATTTGGTTAGTCTGGGTCATTTTCTTACATGTCTATAAAACTGAAATTCAGTTTTTTTTAAAAAAAAAAATTAGCAATTGGCACCTGGGTGGATGCTTCTGTGGTGAAGCCAATTCTACTTCATGGTGATCTTTTCAGATTCATTCCAGACCTGACATCTTCTACATTTGGATTACTGCTTGGAGATATTTTTTTTTTTAAAGAAAACAATTCCTTCAGCCTTTTTAAATTGCTGTTAACTGACCTTGCATCTATTAAGCAGCAAATGGAAGGGATTACTAGTCAATTATCAATCAACAGGAACATTCCAATCTGTTTATAAAATCATTAGCCACCAAGAAGCTGTCAGAAGTTTCCCACCGAAATCCAGCCATGGTGCAAATTTACCTAAAGCTGCTTGACTTTAAGTCAAAGTTCTTTCCGAAAATATTATCTGATTATTAATGTTCCTTGTGCAAAACGCACACCCGCATATACAAAAAGTCCACGTTATGAAAGGCCTTTCACAATCAGTCCAAAACCACAGTCAATCACAGGTTTGTTAGCCTGTTGAACATTAACTTGTCAACTAACAGATCCAGTTGTTTATTACTGCTCAAGATTTACGCACTTCAGTAAGCCTTCGGAGGCAAGTAGCCAAAAACAACACCCGTTAAGGCATCTACCCAGAAGGATCTTTTCCACCTAAAAAGCACAATCCAAGTTGCTGGGAGGAGGTTGCACACAGAAAACTATATATTGCAATATTTCTTCGAAATCTGCTAGCAGTGATTCATGAAATAGTCACCGAACACAGCTTCCAGTTTCAAGCAAAACATACTTGATCCTTGAATGGAAGACTTCCATATGACTTTAGATTCCATTTTATAAATGCACTTTTCCCAGCACCAAAGAGATTCTCCCTGTAATATTCTCAAGAGGAACGTCTACGAAACCAGAATGCTTTATTTGGCTAAATTCCTTCCGACAAGGAATTTGTCTCAGATATAGAAGCTCTCAATATACATGCAATGCAACAGAAGATGACTACAAAGAAGAGGAAGTCAACCTACTCTCCAAAGCCCCTGAAGGCAAGAGAAGAAGCAATGGATGGAAACTAATGAAAGAGAGAAGCAACCTAGAACTAAGGAGAAATTTCTTAACAGTGAGGACAATCAACCAGTGGAACAACTTGCCTCCAGAAGTTGTAGATGGTCCATCCTTGGAGGCTTTTAAAAAGAGACTGGACAGCCATTTGTCTAAAACAGGGGTCTTCAAACTTGACAGCTTTAAGGCTTGTGGATTTCAACTCCCAGAATTCCTCCTCCCAGTCATGTTAGCTCAGGAATTCTGGGAGTTGAAGTCCACAAGTCTTAAACTTGCCAAGTTTGAAGACCCTTGATCTAAAATGATGTAAGGCCTCCTGCTTGAGCAGGAAGTTGGATTAGAAGGCTCCAAGGTCTCCAATAACTCTGTTATTCTGTATTGTCATAACCATAATAATAATAGGAGGTAACAAAGAAGATAGTAAGAAGGATAAATAATAATACTACAGCCATACAAAATGTTTAAATATACATTAGACAGCACTGTTGTGTAAACTCATGGATTTGAAGGTGTGTAGGAGGAGAAGGATAAATCTTCTGCTAACTATCCAGATTGTTAACTTCTAGACAAATCAAGAGCTATGGGTGATATAATTTGGCCCTAGAATCTTATGGGATTTGACCCCTTGTGCGATGTGTTCTTAGTTTTGTAGACAGGTGCAATGCGCACAGCACGTACGCTGTATTTTTACTGTATTGGACGATGCCCTAGAATTGAGTGTCAATAATACGTTGGGAGTAGTCATAATAGAAGCCGTACTACACAGTGGTTATTATAAATAGCTCTCATATAAATAGAGCTGCGAGATTATATTACGCAGTAATTCTGCAGACATGATACAATGCCTGCTCTAAATGAACTCCACACATTTAGCCTAAAGAATTGAATGCTGACAAGGGATCAAGCAGCGTCTATATTTCATACCTTGTTTCAAGGCCAAAATTGGGGTTTTAGGTTCCGAGTCGGTAAGAATTCAGCACGCATAATGTGAAAGAATACACTGGAGTTTACTTAGCCCAAAATAGCATCTTTGTCTCTTACAGCATGACAGGGGAATGCTGCGTTGAAGAGAGGCACTGCTTAGAATGTCAAGACACGGGTGATGGGTAGATATTAAATCCACAGCTTTGGGTCCCCAAGATTTACAGCTGCAGAGCTATTAGCTTAAGTAGACCTGTGAAATCCACCTGTCATTAGAAGACATGAAATACGAGACAACTTTTTGAGTGCTAACAGTCACATTTTCAGAGACAGCAGAGAATCAGCAGCAAGTTTAATTGTAGAATGAAACCGGGAGGTTGAAACCAGCTGGAGGGAGAAAATTATCAGGATGCGCTTGGAACTGACACATAAAACGTTTTGAGAATCCAATAAAGACTTTAAAAAAAAAAAGTTAACCGTAGAGTTCCAGGAAACGTAGTTTGAACATTGTGGCAACAGACTTACATTTCTGCAGTTCTTGGAAGTCTTCAAGCTGGGTTGTTTTCTTGCAGACGTTTCATTGTCCAGCTAGGTAACATCATCAGTGCTACATCATCATCATCATCATCTAACACTGATGATGTTACCTAGTTGGGTAAGGAAATGTCTGCAAGAAAACAATCAAGCTCAGAGAGCACCAAGGACTCCATAATCGGCTCCTCCTCCTCCTCCTCCCCCTCCCCCCAAACCCCACTTTCTTCTAGTACTGATGATGTTACCTAGTTGGGTAATGAAACGTCCGCAAGAAAACCACCAAGCTCAGAGAGCACCAAGCACGCCACAGTTCAATCCTGAGCTACAAATACTCTCTTCTATCAGTAGACTAATGTTTACTTCTTTTTATTTACATATTCAATTTATATGACATGGTTCTCCTCCTGGAAGATTATGTTAGAAGCATCCAAAGTAAGAGCAGGGGAGTTAATCGCCTTCGTTTAATCAACTTATTAGCACTTTGAAAAAAAGTTTCCTTGGATTTATGAAATAAAATCAGGGAGGAGCGGGGATAACACCACATTCAGCCCAGGAGAAGAGCACAAGGCAGCTATTGATCGAACTCTGCCGGTCAATTGGGAGACAAAGACACTTTTGTGAAGTTTAATGCTATCGTATAACCGTACACCGAGCCCATAATCAGCAAGGTGCTAGGAGAGGCCGAAATTCTGGCATTCCCAGAAAGTCTGAGCACACTGAGGGGTTCATTGGGGGGGGGGGGCGGCTCAGGAATCACTTACAGCACCTTAAAAAGCCCATCCAACTAAACCAAAGTTACCTTTTTCGAGGGGAACCTGTGGCGTAGAAAACCTTTCAGCCGAATGGCATCTGAAGTTATAAATCTCATAAACGGTGTAGAGAGTGAAGTTTAACCTTCTCCCATTGTCTGTTTGTCCTGTCCTGTCCTGTCCTTGGCCCTGTCCTATCTATCTATCTATCTATCTATCTATCTATCTATCTATCTATCATCTATCTATCTATCCATCCATCTATCTATCTTCTATCTATCTATCTATCTATCTATCTATCTATCTATCTATCTATTATCTATCTATC